TTGTTCTATTCTGCTGGATTTGGCCTTCTCCGTTTTGTTTTGCAAGTTCTGTTTCGTTTCTTTTTTCTGAAGGTTTTCCCTCTGCTGTGATTTTGATGGGTTTACCTTTGTATGTTACTTGTTTTTTCTCTCTTACAGCCTTCAATATTCTTTCCTTAGTTTCTGAACTTGTTGTTTTAATGATGATATGTCGTGGAGTAGTTCTATTTTGATCTGGTCTGTTTGGTGTCCTGGAGGCCTCTTGCATTTGTATGGGAATATCTTTCTCTAGATTTGGGAAATTTTCCGTTATTATTTTGTTGAATATATTACGCATTCCCTTCGCTTGCACCTCTTCTCCTTCTTCGATGCCCATGATTCTCAAGTTTGGTCTTTTGATGGAGTCTTTGCATTTTCTTTCTCACAGGTCTTGAGTTGTTTAATCTCAGTACGCTTCTTCAGTTTTCCTTTATTACCATTTACATGCTTCAAGTTCTGATTTCTGCTTCTGTTTGTTCTATTCTGCTGGATTGGCCTTCCGTTTTGTTTTGCCAGTTCTGTTTCGTTCTTTTTTCTGAGGTTTTCCATATCTGGCTGTTTCCTCTTCTTTATGTTGTCTATTTTTGTCCTGAGTTCATTTATCATTTATTCATTGTGTTCTCTCTTTCACTTTGGTGTTTATACAGTGCTTCTATGGTTTCCTTTATTTCTTCTTTTGCTTTTTCAAATTCTCTATTTTTAGTTGTCTTGGAATTTCTTGAGTGTCTCCTGTACATTTTGGTTGACCCTATCAGTATCATCTCTATAAAATTCTCATTGAGTACTTGTAGTATGTCTTCTTTTAAATTATTCTTGTGGGCTTCATTGGGTCCTTTGCATAGTTTATCTTCATTTTGTTGGAGTCTGGCTCTGAGTTGTCTTTCTTCATTCCCCTCTGGTTCCTGTACTAATTTTTTGCTGTGGGGAAACTGGTTTCCTTGTTTTTTCTGTCTTCCTGTCATTGTCTTGGTGTTTTTACGTCCTGTACTGTGTGTAATTAAGTATTTTCTAGCTTGTAATAATAACAATGGTAATATTGAGAATGAAGGAGTGAGCTGAGATGGAAAGCAAGAAGTTAAAGAAAAGGGGAAAACAACAATATACAGACAAGAGGGAGAAAGCAGAACACGGTATCAGACAAGAGAGTTTCAAAGGTATAAACAGGGAGTTTAGTGTACTAATCGACAGTAAGCTGAACAGAATTAGAGGACAGGAGAGGATTGAAAATCAAAGATAAAAATAAAATAAAAAATAAGTATATGAAAGTGAATATCTATTTATAAAAAATGAATTAAAATAAATGAAATAGAAATTAAAACAAAAAAAAAAAAAAACCAAAAAACTTCCAAGTTTATATGCAATGCAATTTCAGTCTTAATAAATTTGGATGTCCGTCTCAATCTTCCAGTCCTGGAGTTGGTGCCTCAGATGTGTTCTGTAGTTGTCTCATCAAAGGGGATGCATAAAGTAGAACAAAACTCACTCACACACACACAGAAAAAAAAAAAAAAAAAGCCCCCAAGTGTCCCAGTTCAATGCAATACAGTTTCAGTAAGTTTTTCGGCCTTGCAGTGTAATTCGGTGTTCTCTCATCAAAGGGTAGGAGAAGAAAAAAAAAAGCGTCTGGACAGTTCTGAGAGTGGTCTGCAACTGTGGCTTGCCTGCCTGCTGCTCTCAGCCTGTAGCTGGCGGCGTTATTTATGCAGATCTCGTGGGGTGAGCTTAGCACCCACCTGGTCCCACAGGCTTTGTTTGCTCAGAAGTTCTGTGCGCGGCGCCTCTGCCACACGGCTTTCCCCTTTCCAACCACTGGGAAGGCCGAACTGCCCCGCGTTGTCAGGGCCTGTACGTGTTATTTACAGTTTCACGTAGGGAAAGTGGCCGTCTTCCCTCCTCTCACAAGCGTCCCCTCGCCCTGGTTGCTGGCGCGCCCCGCTCCGCCAGAGCCTCTCGGGGGCAGCCGCCCGGCTCGTTTATTTACAGTCCCGGGAAGGATTCCCTTCCCCCATCTTCAGCGCTCAGGGGCGCCCCACCCTCTTTCCAGCGTGTCTTAACTGTTCTTATTGCTTAGTACGGTCAGTTTCTCTTTTTTTCCCGGGGTGAGGTCAGTCTGTCCAGGGGGCTATGCTGCTCTGGCCCAGGCTTGTCTGTGGGGGAACCGCGGTACCGCGAAGCTCACCTGGTCCGCGTCTTCCCAAGCCGTATGGGCGCCGGCCACTGGCGGCCCCGGGGGCCTCCTCGGTTCTCCGTTTAACGTGAGGTGGAGATTCTCTGCGCCGGCTGGAGATGTGGAGGAGTCAAAGTTATGCCTTTTCTCGGTGATTATGCCTGCAAAGTGTGTCTCCAGCGTCTCTCCAAGATTTCACTATAGGAGGGTCGCTTTCTGCTTCCTACCTCTAGCCGCCATCTTGGAATTCTCCTTGAGTGCTGAAAATTTAAAAGTATTTTTTATTTATTTTCTTTGTCTTAAGACCCTTATGTTGCCTTATTTTGAATTCATACTTTTAATGAGGCTTATATTGCCTGTTGGTGTTTGTATCGGGGGTCCATTTTTACCTGAAATCTAAGTAGGCCAGTACTCAGTATTATATAGGTGTTTTTTTTTTTTAATTAAAATTCAGTTTAAATTTACATACAGGAAAATTTGCTCTGTTGTACAGTTCTATGAATTCTGACAAATGCACTGAGTTGTATACTGCCACCCCAGCCAATGTGTGGAACAATCCCCTTACCCCACAACATTCTTGTGGAAGTAAATTCATCCTTACCTTTAATGTTTGACAACTGTTTAATCTCTCCTACATCCCTGTAGTGTTGTCTCCTCCAGAATATGTATAAATATGTAGCCTTTTGAATCTGACCTCTTTCAGTCAGCATAATCCTTTGTGATTCACCTAAGTTGTATATATTAGTGGTTTGTTGTTGAATAATTTTCCATTGTGTGAATATACCACAATTTATCTGTTCACCTGTTGAAGGATGTTTACTGCTAGTTTTTGGCAATTACAAATAGAGCTGCTACAAGCATTCATGTACAGGAGTTTGTGTGAGTGTATATTCTCATTTCTCTTGGGTAAATACCTAGGAGTCGGATTTCTGGGTCATAAGGTAAGTATACGTTTAATTTTATAAGAAACTGCCAAACTGTTTGCCAAAGTGGCTGTGTCATTTTGCATTCCCTCCAACAGTGTGTGAAAGTTTTAGTTTCCTCTGCATACTAGCACTCAGTGCCTCCTTTTTGTTGTTTTTTTGAACCATTCAATTAGGCGTGCACAATGGTATCTCATTGTAGTTTTAATTTTTATTTCCCCTGTGACTAATGATGTATGTATGTCAGTGTGTTTTCTTTGGTAAACTATTTCTTTATACTTTGTTTCACTGAATTTTGTTGAGTTGTAAGAGTTCTTTGTATGTGCTGGATATGAGTCCTTCAGAAAGTTTTATAATTTTGTGGTTCACTTTTAAGTCTGTGATCCCACTTTTAATTAACTTACATAAAGTGTGAGGGCCACATTGAGTTCATTTGTTGCATGTGGATGTCCAGTCGTACCACGGTGATTGAATAGACAGCCCTTTCTCCATTGACTTGCTGTTGCTTCTTTGTTGAAAACCAGTTGACATGTATGTGTGAGTCTATTTCTGAACAATAGTTTGTTCCATTGTTTATCCTCTTGCCAGTACTACACTGTCTTAATTATTTTATCTTCATCTTAAGTCTTATAATCAGGTAGTATGAGTTCTCCAGCCTTGTTCTTCCTGAATTATTTTGGCTGGTTTAGTTCTTTTGTGTTACCATATAAATTTTAGGTCAGTTTATCAATATCTACAAAACCCTGCTAGAATTTTAATTGGGATTCTGTATTTCGGGTTTTTTTCAGTGCTAAATGACGTTCAATCCATTGCTAATACTGAGTTCTGTCTGTTGTCCTTGTATCCAATGACCTTGCTAAACTCAATTATTAGCTCTAGGATCTTTTCATTAGTACTATAACTTTTTAAAGGTTGTCAATTTGATAGGTAAGAATTGATAGACCTTTTTTTTTTCCTTCATTCTTTTTTTTTTTTTGCAGTGCTAGGAATCCAACCTAGGGCCTTGTGCATACTAGGCAAGCACTCTACCACTGAGCTACATCCCCAGCCCTATGTAATTTTTTTTTTTTTTGCTTAAAGAGTATCTTTTACATGATCTTTGTGGACTTTTGTGTGTGTGTGTGTGTGTGTGTGTGTGTGTGAATTTCTTTTGCGAACATTTCCATTCTTCTGGGCTTTTTGTTTTGTTTTTGTTTTGACAGTTTTCTCCTACGCTTTATCAGTTGTCTTTTAAATCTGTGTATGGTGTTTTTGATTTGGGGGATACCAAAGGTTTGGTTTTTTGTTTGTTTGTTTTTGTTTTTTTTTTTTTTATTTTTGTGTAACCAGAGCTTTGCTTGTACAGTTTCAACCTTTGCTGTCATGCTTAGAAAGTCCTTCCCAATCCTCTATACCTTTCTTTACTGGGGACACCTATTTCAGAATTTGCTTCTGTATACATTTGTGTGTTACATTTTATACAAATAAAAAAAAATCCTCTTTTATTTGTCTTAAAATGACTGCATTCTTCTATTCCAGGATTTCATGTAGGGGTGATTTTATAGCCTTTGTTACATCCCCTACACTTCACTGGGCTAAAGAACCTCCTGACCCTTCGCCATGGAAGGGGTAGCAGAAGAGTGGCATCTTTGGTTCTGAGGACTGAGCTGGGGCAGGGAGCGGGGAGGGAGAATGTACTATATATATAATTTCATTATTTGCTTTTTTCACTGAACTATGTATTTTGAGCAATTTCATGTCAGAACAGTTAGGTCTCCTTTATTCTTTAAAGATGCATACATAATTTTCTATTTGTCAGTGTACCTTAATCTTCTGTTGGTGAACATTTAGTTTATTTTTTCCCATTGTGTGTGATGTTACAGTGAATTTTTGTTGCTTCTTCTTAACTGCAGGTCTCTTTAATGTGGGGAACAAGTTGCTAGTAAGCCTGGACTTGCTTTTTGCAATCCGAAACCAGATCAAGTTGGGAGAGGACCCCAGAGTGTCTGTCAGTGTTGTACTGAAGTCTGTGCAGGAGCAGACAGGTAAAGGTCATCTTCCTCCTTCTCCCAGGTTTAGTGCTTAGCACCCTGGGAATTTTCAGTGGTAGGCTTTGGTTGAATCATTTTGGAGAAGAGTCTGGGATTTTGAAAAGGAGACATTCTTCCTAATGCGCTCTTCTGTTTGAATTTTATAATTATCAAATGAACTTTGGATTTGGAAACCATGTGTCTTTCCATACATCTGGGGATCTTTAGCAAGGGATCACAACTGACTTTCTTCCCCCCCGCCCCATACACGAATGTTTACAGTATTAATTGTTCAGCGCAGCCAAAATACGAAAACAGCTCAAATAGTGGTCAGCAAATGAATGAACAAATTCACAACTGAGTTTTAGAAGCACATCCTTTGACAGTAGGTCTGTCAGACGCATTATGAATACACAGCTCCTGGATGTCTGCTACCAGTCCTAAGGCTCGTGTGAGACCCAGGGGTAGGGGACATGCTTGCTCTCTGTACTTCATCGTGCTTCACATCCCATTCCTACAGGCTCCAGTTCTCTGCTTTGCCTGCTGTGGGGAAAGAGGCAGCGTAGCAAGGTGCTAGAGCCACACAGGCCTGTGTTTTAGACTTGCTTCTTAGTGGCAGTGCGATTTTTGAGCAAGTTCTTGTGTTTCTCCAGTTATAAAATGAGAATAGTAATAGCTCTTGGATCATAAAGAATTAAATTCATGTGGGAATTAAATTAGGTAACATTTTCTCTCTCTCTCTCTCTCTCTGTCTTTTTTTTTGGTAGTACCAGGGTTTGAACTCAGTGCCTCACACTTGCTAGGCAGGCACTCTGCCATTTGAGCCACTTTTTCAGCTCTAGATAACATTTCCAAAGCCCTCAGCACAGCATGTAATACCTTGAAGTTCTTAGTTCAAGGCAGCTATCACTTTGGTTGGACCTGCCCTTTAGATTACTCCTTGAGCACTTGAAGGCCACGTGCCTGACCCTCAGAGTAGTAAGTACTCTTGGGTGTTTTCAGGGGAAAATCAGTCCTGCAGGATTGCTGTTCTTACTCGCCACTGGCTCATCTCAAGTGCCTTCACGAGCTTTTTCTGTGACCTTCTCAGTGCTCTTGCTGTCCTTCCAGAGAAGACTCTAACCTCGGAGGAGCTAAGTCAGTTGCAAGAGCTGTTGTGCAATGGCTATTGGGCTTTTGAGTGCCTCACTGTCCGAGACTACAATGACATGATCTGTGGCATCTGTGGTGTGGCCCCGAAAGTGGAAATGGCTCAGAGGAATGAAGAGAATGTACTGGCACTGAAAAGTGTGGAAGTAAGTGACTCTCAGCCATGGGTGACCTTCAGAGGTGTCCCCTCAGTTTGGTAGCTACCTTCCTGCATGCTATCCCCAGGGATAGATATCTTTAGTCCTATGGGTTGAGGCCAGTGGATTTTTCCTCCTACAGCCCAGGGTTTCATCTGGGGAAAGGAGAAGGAAACAGGACTTGTTTATTCAGTTACTCATTCATCAAATGTATTGAGCATGAACTAGATGCACTATTAAAATATTTATTTATACATGCATACATACATGCTGGGAATTAAACCCTGGCTTTGTGTATGTTAAACATGTGTTCTACAACTAAGCCACAACCCCAGTCCCTAGAGGCCCTTTTTTAAACCCTTGGAAAATAGTTTAAAAAGCAAGGTTTTTGCCTTCATGGACCTCATGTTCTGTTTTGGGGGAAACAGATAGGAAACAAATGTAAGTTAAGTAGTAATGAGTTTTGTGCACCAGAGTGAGAAGATAGCTGTGCAGTGGAAAAGGGTGTTCCTGTTCTTATAGAAGGTAGTCAGGGAAGGCCTCTATGGTGGCATCTAAAACTCAGGTAACTTTAGGGAGGAATGTTTCAGGCAGAGGGAGCAGCAAGAACAGACTCTGAGCTAGAGGTGAGGCTCAAGTGGTGGAGCACCTGCCTAGCAATTGTGAGGTCCTGAGTTTAAACCCCAGTACTGCCAAAAATAAAAAAAGAACAGACTCTGAGGCAGTCTTGCTGGGCTTGATTGGGGGCAGCAAGGAAACCAGTGTAACTGGAGAGAATGATGCAAGAACTGGTAGGTGTGTGAGGTTCAGAGAGGCATGAGAGGCTGAAACCTACATGGGCCATTTGAAGAACTTACAGAGTGAAATGGAAAGCCACTGAAGGTACTGGGTTCTAAACTAAACAGTTTTCACATGGAAATAATACCAAATTCAGATGGCTTCACAGAATAATTATAGCAAAAATCCAAGAAGTATATGATTCCAGTCATAGACAAAGAATAGCAAACGCGGGTATATTTCTCCTGTTCATTGTATAAAACAATGTAACCTTGAAAGCAAGCTCAAACATTTTTGATATAAGAGAAGAAATTAGGGTTTATTGTACTCATGAAGGTAGACGTGCCTGAATAAGATAATAGCACAGTAGCTCTCAATGAATAATGTATCATGACCAAATTTATCACCAGAAAGCAAGGTTGCTTAAACATTAGAAAATATATCAGTGCAATTCACTATTTAGCATATTAAAGAAGAAACTCACGTGGTTATTTCATTAGATGTAAAAAAAAGGGGGGAGGGCTTTCAGTATGGTTCAATACCCACTTAGCGTAAAACTCTGCAAACTGAGAATAAGAAGGAATCTTCCTTAACCTTATACAGAGTTAATCCTATAAATAGTGACCCTTATGTATGCTACTAGTTGTGCCGAAATACAAGGTTTCTGTCTCTGAACTCTGCCATAGAGTTCAAGAGGACTAGGACATGAAGTGACTGCATCCTGCCTGCCAGGGCAGGTGCAGAAGCTCAGGAGAACAGCTTTGGTGTTGGCATAGCCAGCTAAGTATATGAGGCACCAGTGGCCATAACTGTAATTGAAGCTACTTGGGAGGCAGAGATCAAGAGGCTCACGGTTCGAGACCAGCCCAGCAAATAGTTTGTGAGACCCCCCCACCTCCATCTCCAAAATAACTGGAGCAAAATGAACTGGAGCCCTGATTCAAGTGGTAGGGCTCCTGATTTGCAAGCATGAAACCCTGAGTTCAAACCCCAGTCCCACTGAGAGAGAGAATAAGAAAAATTGAGTTGGGGAATGCTTGCCTGCCATACATGAGACCTTGGGTTGATCTCCAACACTGCCAAAAAGAATGGTAGTATAAGTGCTAGATGCCTATAACAAGTAAATACTACCTGGGGTAAAGGAAAGAGGAGAGGGCTGACAAGGTGAAAGAGGGGAGGAATCTGTGGTTATCGGAAGATGGATAGAATTCACTAAATTATTCTTGTCAGCCAGGAACAGGATTAAGTCTTGGGCCTTAGAACTAGACCTAGGTTCACCTTTTTTTTAATTTTTTTGTGGTACTAGGGTTTGAACTTGGGGCATACACCCTGAGCCGCTCTGCCAGCCCTTTTTTGCTATGGGTTTTTCTTTTTTTTTTTTGACGATAGGGTCTTGAGAACTATTTGCCTCGGCTGGCTTCAAACTGCGATCCTTCCAATCTCTGCCTCCTGAGTATCTAGGATTACAGATGTGAGCTTATTAATAGTTAAGTAGAAAGTGTCTCATATATAACAAGCATTCAAATAGTAGCTCACCTTTCCTCTAAGGTTGGGAATATGATATGAATAAAGGTAGAGAAGCAAAGGAACTTTGCACTGTTTTTGGTATGAGAGAAATAAAATCAGTTGAGTACTAAGTTGTCAAATTTAGGGGTGCTCAGCAGTGCATGGCTGTCAGACTCCTCCCTTTTGCTGAGCCTTGATTTCCATGTACATAAGGGAGGGGTGAAGGCTATCATGTTGCTAAGAGTATGTGGCTTCTGCAGTTCAGCCATTTTTATCTTGATCTTTTAGTTCACCTGGCCTGAATTCTTGGGCTCCAGTGAAGTGAACGTGGAAGACTTTTGGGCCACAATGGAAACAGAGGTGATTGAGCAGGTGGCATTCCCTGCCAGCATCCCTATTACCAAGTTCGATGCCTCTGTTATTGCCCCCTTCTTTCCTCCACTCATGAGAGGAGCTGTGGTCGTCAATACTGAGAAAGACAAAAACCTGGATGTGCAGCCAGTACCTGGTAAGGCACCTGGTGGTTGATTGGTATCAGAGAATGGCTAAGTCAGGAGTCTGGGATGTTGTCCATGGCAAGACAGCACAGTGATCAAGGGATGGCTAGGCATATCTAGAAACTCCATCAAAAAGCTAATGGCAGCTGTGACAAAATCCCCTAAAGGTTAAAGTCATGGTGCACAGTTTTGAAGAGTTACTAGCAATACTATATAGGACAGACACACCACTCACTGTTGATGAATATAGTACTGGGATGTACAACTGAGTAGTAGTGTTGCAAGAAACACTGATGATAGGCTCTGACCCCAAAGATTTTCATTGAGAAAGTGTAGGGGGAGGTAGATCACATGGTTTGTGGATCATCCACTGAGAAGCCCTGAACTAGATGGGAATAGCATAAATTTTTTGGCAAGTACCTTCATTGCCCTGAGCTTCTAATGCTGTATCAACAAAAAGGATGTGACATGTTACCCACCTCTTAAGTTGTTGAGCTAATATAGAGTGATAACTTTCTACTTTAAGAAGAAATACGTTTTGCATCATTACCCAGAATAATCCATACGTATGCAAAATGTGTGTGCACCTATAACTGAAAAAAAGTTCCACAAAATAATACTTTTTCTCACCAAGTACAATACGCTTTATTTTTATTTCATTAAAAAGAAAAAAGATACCTAGGCCTCCTGGTGCTTACCACAGTCTGTGTTCTTACACTGACCGTATAGAAAGAGGAGGAAAAGTAAACCTATCCCATATACACCTCAGTCCAGGCCTTGTGCCTGATCTGTATTGTGAATGGGGAGACATAGGGAAGAGAAAGGAAAAAACTAGATAAAACCTGCTAAATTGATTTCATAGTACTTAATATGCTGTGATTCACTTGGCTGTCAAAACATTGCTTCCTGACATTACCTATTGACGCCTCCACTTGTATTTGCTGCTTTAAGGCTCAGGAACTTTTAAAAATTTTTAATTTTATTGATGTAATTTATTTTTGCGTTGCTAGAGATTGAACCCAGGGCTATCTGCATGGGAGTCAAACTCTCTATCACTGAGGTATACCTCCAGCCCAGGATTTGTTTAGTTGTTTAAGGTCCCTACATAGCAGTTTCCTTGGTTAGTCAGGAGCATAACATAAAGAGAACATTTTTTAAGTGACAGCTACTGCTTCTCTTGTTGCTGCAGGTGTGGTAAGCATCTGTGTTTTGGTCTGAAAAAAAACAAGACCAAATTAAAAGGTGGCCCATTTTAGGGTTCTTTGTAATGGCTATGTGCTGGGTATCTCACTAGGATGTTCCAGGGCATGTTCTAGTTCTCAGAGTTCACATGTCTGCAGACGTCATAGACTAGCCTTATGTTCTGCTTCTCCCAGTACCCTGGGAAGCACTCAGTGTAGAACTGTCTTCTACTACTTGCTGTCCTACAGGCCCAGCAACCTTTTTCTCATCCTCAAGCATAAGAGACTACCTCTGGTGGCTGGCAGCAGCCCCTCCCAGCATTGTCATCTCTTGTAGGCAATGGCAGTGCCTTGGTGAGACTGCTCCAAGAGGGTACCTGCAAGCTTGATGAGCTTGGTTCCTATGGAGAAGAAGAGCTGCAGCACCTGCTGGGGCAATGTGACATCCCCTTTGGGGCAGAAGACTCCAGGGTGAGTGCTAGTTGCAGTAGTGGAAGTTGGGCTTTGTGAACAGGTTAGTTTGTCTCTTTTCTGAGCAGGATATGGACACATGTGACAGGGCATCTGCTTTGGAAAGAAGGTGCTGGCAGCCAGGAAGCTGGAAGATAGCAGTGGCCAGATTGTGACATTCATGTGAGGTCTTGGCTTCCTGTTGGTTCCTCCTATTGAATGTAGTAGGCTTAGACTCTAGGGTCAGGAATCCTCATTCTTCTTACTCTGTATGATCTTGGATAAACTATCTTATCTTACATTTTGAGCTTCAGTTTCTTCATTTGTAAAATTAAAATAACTAAAATATCAACTTTATGAGGCTGTTGTAAAGAATTTACACAGCATTTGGTTTTCAGACTCTTAGAAAGTGACTGCTACTACACATATAGACAGTGTATATATGTGTTTTATCCATACATTACTGATTTTCCTTCATATTTCTGTGCTCTTGAAAATACTGTGCCTCCTTCAAATTCACATTCAAATGTTAGCTCCTCTTAAGGTTCCTCTGACTTCTAAAAAGTAGAAGACCCTGACTAGGGACGTGGCTCAAGCGGTACAGTACCTGCCTAGCAAGCTTGAAGCCCTGAGTTCAAACCCCCAGTACCACCAGATGAATAAATGAATGAATGAATAAATGATAAAATAGAAACTAGAAGGCCCCAGGCCCAGAGTCTGGCAGCTTGGTCAATCCGGTTGACTCTTTCTGTGTCCTAATCCTTTTGGGGCTTCCAGGTGCTTGCCTATACTTAAAGGAGTTGGGCTGGTAAGGCTCTAAGGCCCAGTCTGGCCTAGCAGTTGTCCCTTTTCCCTTGGGTATGGAGTGAGCATTTGCTGCTAAGTAACAAGCCTGATCCCTTAGCATTCACTCTTGTCCTTCTCCTCCAGGATCAGCTCTGCTTCTCCTTATTGGCCCTCTATGAATCTGTACAGAATGGAGCCAGAGCTAGACAGCCCCCACCTCATCTCACAGGAGGTAAACTCTACAAGGTGTGCCCCCATCAGGTAAGAAGGGAGCTTGGGGTGAACTTGCTAATGTTATAAACTGCCCACAGACAATCTGATTGATCTAGCTCATTCTTTGGGGTTTGGGACTTTGGCTGCTGTGCAGCCTGAACAAGGTAAGACCTGCTGTCTCTAAGGCAACCAGAGAAGTCTGGGGCCTAAAGATAGGGAGGACCCTAGGGAAGAGCCTGAAAGAAGTGGTCCCCAGCAGGGAGAGCCCTAGAGACTAGAGTCACCATCACCATTGGGGCTTTTATTCTGAGGGTGGTGAGGGACCCTTTGGATGATACTGAGTGGGAAATGGGGATGGTGACACAGTCTGATTTTGGTTTGGGAACAATCATCAGGTGTCTTGAAGGATGTGAATTGGGTAGGTTCCAGGATAGGTGATACCTGATGGCAGAATAGGCTCAGCAAGATACTGGATGGAAAACCCGTTCTGTTAACAGATACTGAGTGGGGTGGAGTGTCAGCAAAGCCTTAGTTCCTGAGACATGATGAGTCAGAAGGGAGCCTGGCTGCAAGAGGAGTGAGGTCATCAATCACTGGAATAGGAACTGTGTCTGAGGGAGAGGCTTGAAGCCCCCAGAGGATATACTGTGATGGGTATTGTCTTGTGAGAAGCATCTGACAACATAAGAGACTCCAGATCTATCTTGGGGTTGTGGAGGGGAGCATTTCATTTGTAAGCTACGGCCAGGTGGGTGTGAAGGCAGAATTCTCCAGTGTACCCAGGTTTGTTCAGTTATAGAATGGTGCTGGGTGCCTGTCAATGGAGATGTTTACTAGATAACAGTAGAGGCTACCATCTGAGCAGTACACTGGGGTCTGCTAGGAGCTTGCTCAAAAGACAAGTGGTTAGATCCAGACACACAAATTTCTTAGGTTTGTGTTGGGGCCCAGGATCTCCATCTGTAACCAGCTCTCTGCTGCTGGTGCTGTGTAGTCAGGATTGAGAACCACTACATGATGTTGGTAGGTCATATGGAGGGAGTGCGCTATCAAGGAAATGCCTTGACTACCTTCCTGCCTAAGTTAAGAACAGGATATCCCAGCACTTTTCTCGAGGGCAAGGATGAGCTGGTGACTTCATTTAGGGACAGAAGTAGGAGAACAAAATGTCACGGGCTTCAGTTATGAAGCCAATTGTTAATCTTCCTGGGAAGACAAGTGAGGGTTCTGCATGGCCTGCCTGCACATTGGCTACTTACCCCTGGTGGCCTGGGCCCTACATCTCCCCCTAGGTGGTCTGCGGCTCCAAGTACCTTGTTCGAGGTGAAAGTGCCCGTGACCATGTGGATCTCCTTGCCTCTTCCCGTCACTGGCCACCTGTCTACATGGTAGATATGGCCACACCAGTGGCCCTGTGTGCTGACCTCTGCTACCCAGAGCTGACAAGCCAGATGTGGGGAAGGAACCAGGGCTGTTTCTCTAGCCCTACAGAGCCACCAGTGGTGAGTGACCCTCTGAGGAACTGAAATGAATTCCTCAGGCTGACCGTGTCCCAACCCTCTGGTTCTTCAAGGGACATGCCTGAGAACCATCTCTAGCATCCTTTTTCCCCACCAGCATTTTGCTTGATGCACTGGAACTAGCATTTACTCTCTAAGTTGATACTGACTACTTAGTGTGTATGAGAACAAAACATGTCATTTAGTATGCCTGATGTGTTCCAAACACAGGTTGCCTTCCAGATAAGCCACTTTTGAGTCATTGCACACACTGACTAGTCCTGTGGCTCATTATTTCATTTCCATTTCTTAGATTTGTCTATGCATATACCACCAGCATGCCTGTAGTGTTGTAGACACACAGCAGTGATCTCACTGCTCTGATCTCACTTCCAGAACTATACACTAAATAAACCTCTATTCTTTATAAATTGGAATAGTCCCCAGCACCGTTCTTCAACCCGAGGGAAATGGACTTGACCAGGGTCACACAGCAAATCAGTAACAGAGCCCTTGTCTTTGTGTCTTTGTCATTGAACCTGGCAGTTGTTCTTACCAGAGGCATGCACACTCCAAAGCTTGCCTTGGCCTTTGCTGAAAGAGACCTTAGAACTGGTATTAGGAAGAAAGGAAAAATCAGAAGGGAGACTAGTGCCCCTGCTAGGGTTCATTATGGGAGGTAAAGGCCTCTGGCTCTTCCTTGATGAGAGCATCATTATTACAGCTGTCTGAGGATTTCAGTCCCCAAGAGCTTGTGCTAGGTATTAAGGCTTGTGCTAGGTATTACAGGTATATAAGCCTCCCTCAGAGCCAGTTTCTCCTGCCCTGCAGCCTGAATTGATTAGGTACAATGAAAATAGCAGCTCAAACAATCCCAACATGTTTTGGGGATGACCTGTTTTCTGTTCCTGTACTCACATGAGGAAATGGTAGCAGAGGGAGCTAGGAAGGGGCTTGGCCCAGAAGTCGCAGTGTACAGGGACGCTAGGATTTAAACAGGGCTGCCTGACTCCACGACTTTTGCTCTCACAGGTTCAACCTTAGTCATGTTTCTTGTTAAAATGGCTTCTCATCTCTCTTCTAGAGCATTTCTTGCCCTGAGCTCTTGGACCAGCATTATTCCGTGGACGTGACAGAGGCTGAACACTCTGTCCAGCACCCAGTCACCAAGACTACCACACGGCGTATTGTCCACGCAGGCACACAGCCCAGTCCTGGTGACCCCAGTGCTGGGCATCATTCCTTGTCCCTGTGTCCTGAGTTGGCACCCTACGCAAGCATCCTAGCCTCCATCGTGGACAGCAAACCAAACAATGTCCGCCAGCGGCCCATTGCTTTTGACAATGCCACCCACTATTACCTCTACAACCGCCTGATGGACTTCCTCACCAGCCGTGAGATTGTCAACCGGCAGATCCAGGACATTGTGCAGAGCTGCCAGCCTGGAGAGGTGGTCATTCGTGATGCCCTCTACCGCCTTGGGGTTGCTCAGATCAAGACAGAGACAGAGGAGGAGGGTGAGGAAGAGGAGGTGGCTGTAGTGGCAGAGTAAGCCAAGTTATGGTACAGGGACTGCACCATCTCTCTCAAGCCATAATAAGCCCCTTGCCCGAGGTAACCTTATCCAGAGGACCTGCAGAAGCAGTCACCTGTGGGGAGGACCTCTGACTGCTGGGACTGACCAAAGAGCTTCCGTTTCCTAAGCATGGTGGGGCCTAGGGTCCTCACTTCTTAAACTCCTGGGGGTCAGGAGAGGTGCCAGGAACCCCCTAACTGGCCCTGAGAGAGCACGTGGGGAACATACTGTGTTTAGGGGAGGGAGGGTGGTTAAGGGAGGTTGGTAGCTGGTTCCCTGGGCACACTGCAGGTCAGGGAGGAGGACTTGGGGCGGGCTAAGGCAGGAAACCCACACCAGGTGGGAAAGCTGCTGAGCTCTCTTCTCACTGGAGGAACCTGGTGGTCCCAGCTGTACAGCCACATGAGTTCCTTAGCCATTGCCTTTGACTAGGGCTTCAGTGGTCTCATTCACTCTAGGAGTCCCTTTGGGCTCTGGATTCTCCCTCAAAGGAAAGGAGCTTTTTTCTCTGGCTCTTCTACATCCACATCTTGGGGAAGCTAAGGAGGCAGGAACAGTTAGCCACAGCTCTCTCCTGGAACTGTTGTCTACCCTGAGCTTTGGGGAAAAGACTCCCCTTCCTTCTTTCCCTGGCTACTACTGCTGTACTCTACATCCTCCCTGGGTACTGGGACCCTCACCACAGAGATGTGGTCCACGGTCCTGACCTAATCTGGCAGTAGGAAAACTCCCTTCTGTGAAGGGGAAGCAGACAGGGCCATCAGGAAACAGCAGGGCTGGCTCAGTGCCCATAGTTTGCTTAGGGCCCAGGAATTGGCCGAGTGTTACTTAATTTATTGAGAGGAGTGGAGTAGGTGGCTTTTTTCCCCTCTCTTCCCCCAACAAGAATAAAGTTTATTAAATTATCTGGTTTTGATGACATAAGAGCCAGTTCCCTGGTTATTGTATGGGTTACAGTGTGGTTGAGCTCTGGAGGGGCTGAACTTGTCCGTTCACCGGAGGGAGACTAGAAAGAGGTCTTAAGGTACTTGCATGTGTGGCAGTGTGCAAAGAACCAGAGGCCGGCTGTGTTAATGCTGTTAGTTTAATGTTGACAAGAGACATCCCGCATCGTGACTGTTAGTTAGATGAGTCAGCTTGGGGGAGCACGTACTTCTTGCTTGGTGTGGCCAGCCACACACCAAGATTGTTTGCTTTCCAACCCAGAATGACAAAAGACCAGGCAGAACACCCCCCACTTTTAGCTGCCACTTGGCTCATTATAAGAGCAGTCCCAGATCCAGGGTGGGGTAAGGCTGTGGAGTAAAGAAAGCTGTAGGCAGAGACTAGAAGGTCCAATTAGATTCTTACAAAGGAGCCACTTTGCCCCCAAGGGCCTGTGAGCCATGAGCACCTGTCACTACTACTACACTGGGTCAGGGCGGGCAATCCCACCACTGGTCAGGCTGCCTAGCTCCAGGTAGCCTTGTCTTCTTTATATTAGGACAGCTGCTGGAGACTTTCAGGCACAAAGTCCATTTCCACAAAGACATAAAGGTAATTAGGGAAGGGGGTTTTGGGAAGTGGAAACAAGGTCAAGAGTGAGCTGGCAGTTCTACCAGTTGGCATAGCAAACAGGCCAACACCATGAGAACAGTGGGGGAGGGGAGAAGGCTCAGCCCTCAGCCCCTGATTGGCAGTGGTGGCCCAGGCCCTGGGAATGGGGCCCTCTCAGACCTCTCCTAGACTCCTCACATTCCCAAGTTTCAGACTGGGCCAAGCTGAGTGAAATAACCAAGGGCAAAGTTTGTATTCTCCCCATGATGCCCCATCCATGGGGGAGCTAGAGCTTGGAGGAGAGGAGCTGTGCTCCCTGTTATCACCATCTCAGCAGAACTGGTAGTTGTTGGGCTGAAGCAGGGGCTGGGCGATATCCCCCTGCTCACAGCAGGCCAGGTGCTCACTAGAGCTCTCCTCTTCCGGCTCACTGCCACTGCCACCACCACTGCTACTGCTGCTTGGCAGATTGGTGTAGTCCTGAAGGTAGAAGAGGCCAAGGACAGTCAGTTCTGATTCATTAAGCCCAGCATTGCCTGCTCGAGCCAGCCCAGCCCAGCTCAGCCACTCACCCGTTCTTTCCGGTCTCCTTGAGCCTGCTCTTGAAGGAGGGAGCAGATCTGCTGGAAGGTGGGTCTGTGGGTTGGCTCCAGGTCCCAGCAGGCCTGCATGATGCTATATCTGAAGATAGGTTGCCAGTGTGAAACTCCTTAGGGTCTGGGGACCATTACACATCCCAAGAGCTAAGTTCGGCATGCTTTCTTTCTTAACCCTCAGTAGTCTTAGAGAAGGGTACTTTAAATGCCCAAATTTTGAAAGATGGGACCTTTAATACTTGAGTTTAAAGTCTGTCTTCTGAGATTAGGACCAGCCCCAGTTTAAACTCCTCTCTGAGAACATCTCTTCCCCCGCCACTGGTAAACCTTGAACTAAAAAGGGGTTGGTTTTAAGAGTCCACTGGAGCATTCTGGATAGAAAGACTAGAGCCACACCCTTCCATCATCTTCCAGCCAAAGCGTGGGGGTCCTCTTCCTTCCCTGGAACCCTTTCACATACATGTTCTTTGGGGCAAATGCAGGCTGGGCCATTTGGTATCCATCCTTCACCAGTTTGTAGAACTTGCTGTTTACCAGGATGCCAGGGTACGGATTCAGCCCTGCAAAGGTCATGTTGGTATAAGAGGCCATACTCATTGCTTGCTTTCCCCTTCCCCACCCATGATGTGGAGTGTAAATGGCCCACCCAGACTATAGCTGCAGAGCAGCAGCTATCCTGGGTGCCACACAGTTTTAAGCTTTGGGAGGAGGTGACAGACAGCCTTCAGCCAGGGATTACCATGCCAGCACAGGCTTTGGAATCGGGCAGAGCAAGGCCTCAGTTGTGTGTCAGCAAAGTGGGGATGATGCCCAGTTAGGAGGTTAGTAGAGCAGTGTGTTTAAGGACTTAGCAAGAGGCCCTGTGTCTAGTCCTCAGGATGGGAGCTGCATCTTCAGGGGCATGTAGGTTTCAAAGGGGCAACAGCATTCTAGGTTGCAGCAATCACACAAGCAGGAGAGGATGCAACTCAGGGCTGGAAGGTGTGCCAAGCCCACCCAGGAGCTGCAATGCTGGGTTTGAGAGCCTCTCCCAACCTTCACTTCTACCACCTCACTCTATTCTAGGCACCAGGTGTCCTTGATTATCTTCCTTCATGAGGTAAAGAGGAATCAGCCCCACGCTGGGCTTGGAGTGGACCTAGCAGCTCACCAAGTGAGAAGATTTCCCAGAGCAGGATGCCATAGGACCAGACATCACTCTGAAATGTGTAGATGCAGTCAAAGATGCTCTCTGGGGCCATCCACTTCACAGGCAGGCGGGCCTGGCACGACAGTTTCTTGTCACTTGGAGCCCTGGACCTCCATCCCTTCCCCAGTCCACTGCACCCCTCACCCCTCTCAGCACTCACATTGCCCTTGACGATGTAGTTGGAGTCATTCATGATGTCCCTAGCCAGCCCAAAGTCCCCAATCTTGGCCACATGCCCATTGGTCAGCAGCACATTGCGAGCTGCCACATCCCGGTGGATGCACTGAGGGAAAGTGACACAGGGTTAGTCTTGGCCCCTTTCCTCCCTGTGCCTGGGGGAGGAGGGGAGAAGAGGGCCCCACAAATAAGGCCTCAGGATCCCTCTTGATGGAATGGACATCCCTTTTGGTCCTCTGTCTTGAAGTTTCTAAAATTTCCAGGGTTCAGTTCTGAGAAAACGTAGTGTCTGCTTAATGTTTAGACCACCATCACCTGCCTCTGTGGTCCTTGGAGCCCTTCCTGCCTTTGAGCTGGGCAGTCCACCAGGCCCTAGAAGTTATAATTCCCTGTGCTGTGAGCAGTCTTTGCCCATCCCATTGCTAATAACTCAGCTGCCACCTTTAGAGCTTGTGATTGCACACATTATAATCCAATTTTACCCCCAATCAATTCTGTGCCCTCCCCCCCTTTTTTTTTTCAGTGCTGGGGATTGAACCCAGAGCCTTGAGCATGCTAGGCAAGCACTCCTCTCTTAGGCTAAACATAATAGGAATATTATGCCATTTTTGTAGGTAGAGACGTGGAGAAGCTCAGAAAATGTAAATAGGTGCTCAAAGTCATAGAGCAAGTGGCAAAGCCAGCTGTCATTGACTCTTAAGTCTGTTCTGTGGAGGTGGTTTGAGCTCCCACTCCCTGGACTGAGTGCATGTTTACACTCATAGGAAACTTCTGTTTCCATCTTAAGAGACCATGTGCTTCATGAAGGAGGCAGCTGTTATCTCACTGCTGAGTAAAAATGAGCAAATCCTGTCCAAGCCGCGCTGAGAGGTTGCCCAGGGTGAGGACCTGCCCTGGGCACAGCTTTCTTCCACTCATGCCTGAGGCCCTTTGTGCTGCTGCCCACATTCTTGCACTTCCACTCCTCCCCTGCCTCTTACATCGTTCTCTCTCCTCCCTCTCATCCTCACTCATCCAGCCACAGGGGTTTTTTCCCCCTTCCTCCCCCGCAACCAGGGACCTGAGCACTGGACTGGTTCTGACTCACATTCTTGGAAGCCAGGAAGGCCATGCCCTGGGCCACTTGACTGGAGAAGTGGAGCAGGTCCCGGAGCTCCAGTGGCCGGCTGGCCTCTTTGTCCATATCTGGAGTGGGATGCGGCATCAGGGCAGTCCTCCTCCACACACACACACTGCCCTCCCTGGCCCCACCCCCAGTCCCCAACAGCCCTTCTCTGACCTGGCCCTGACACCTCCTCACCTTGCTCAGAGGAGTCAGTTGAAGAAGTGGAGACTGGCCTCATCTCCACGTAAGTGTCCACGCCCTGGCTGGAGAAGCCACTGTCCCTACATGGGAGAGAAGGTTGGGAGGTGGTCAGCCCTGTTGCTTCACTGCCCAGCTCAGGCCTTGGCCTCCAGCCACCCCATTAACTCTTGGAACCACTCAGGGAGGGAAGGAACCTGGAGGTCAATCTGAGCATCTCTTTTCTGATGAAAAAAAAGCTCCTTGCCACATTCCGTCTAATGTTTTGCCACTGCCAGTGCTGGAGCTTACAGACCATTCTATCTTTTAGCAGCTCTGCCTCTTAGGAAGTTCTTCATGACTCCTAATGCCAATGTGCCCCTGGAATTTTCCTCCTCCTGGTCCTTGTCCAGTCTGAAGTTGGCAAACTCTTCCCCTAACAGTCCTGCTGGACTGGGATCATATTCTAGCTCCTTCTTTGAGTTCTCTAGACAGCACATTAAAATCACTGGGGGATGGCCAGGTTCAGTGGCTCATGTTTGGAATCCCAGCTACTTGGGAGGCAGAGATTGGGAGAATTTCTGTTCAAGGCCAACCCAGGCATTTGTTAACAAGACCCCATCTCGACAAACAGGTGCATGTGGTGGTGAGCACCTATGATCTCAGCTACTCAGGAGGCCTAGGTAGGAGAATCATGGTCTGAGGCTAGTCCTGGAAAAAAGCACAAGACCCTATCCAAAAAATAAAGCACTATAATAATCACCTGGGGAGCTTTTGACCTGCAATACTCTCACCTATGCCTCCTGTACAGCTAGGATTACAGGCATGCACCATTATGCCCATCCCTTCTCGGGAGCTTTTAACATTTCCCATGCCCACACCACCCTCAGAAACTTGAGGGAAACAGGCAGCCATTCACAGCTTTAAATCCATGCAGGTCTAGAGGAGAGCTTTTTAAACTCAGGTGCCCACCTGGGGAACCTCCTTAAAATGTAGATTCTGACTCGGTAGGGTTGAGTGGTGGGTCTTGGAGGTGCGTTTCTAACAACCTCCAGTAATGCCGGGAGCCTCCTTTGAGTGGAACTTACTTGGAGGAGCACCGTACTGTCCTGAACAACCAGATCCAGCTTTGAAACTACTTGCCTTCTGCCCTCTGCACTGAGATGTGCAGATTGGCGATGCCCATACCCTGCTGTTCCGGGATAGAGAACCCAGGGTTTTTTTATGATCTGACCATGGCATAAATACCTTCGCCTTGTTCTAGAAATTGTACTTGTCTATTAACTTAGCTTGGGATCCTGTTGGCAGGACTGGCTCATAGTCGTTCACCCTTGGAATTTTCCCATTGGGAATGCTTTCCTTGACTGCAGATTTAAAGATGGAAGCCAGTACTTTACTTTGGTACCCATTTTGATTTGATCTGGTCTAAGGTTCCAGCCTGTAGAGGGAGGTTCAGTGTGTGCCAACCCTCTCAGGGGTATCTAAGAATCAAAAAGAGGAAGCAGATCCAACCAGGCCTTCTCTTCTTAGCATGTGCTAAAGAGAGATAGACTCCTCCTTTGCTCCCCTGAGTTTGGCAGCCACCAGTATGCAAAATAAGGGCCCTTATTGTGCTGATCCTGCCCCACTTCACCAGGCCCCAAAACCAAGACACCAAGAACAGCAGAGTGGCAGGTGGCCACTGGGCCTAAAGCCAAGAGACAATCTAGCCCAGGCTCCACTTCTGCCCCACTCATGTGTGACATGAAGTTTGCCACTTCCTCTCTTTGGTTCCCCATGTTGTCTGTCCATCTGCCTCTGGTGGCTTCCAGGAATCACAGCATCACAGAACAGCAAAACCAGGAAGGCTCTGAGAGGTTCAATACTGACAGCTCAGCCTGGGAAACTGAGGACCCAGTGGACAATGGACCTGGCCACAGTTATACTGTTTTGCCTCCTCTTACCCAACTGTTAACAAAGTCTGTTCCACTTCTCCGTGGTGATGGGGGACTAAGGTTAGCTAGTCCTGAGTGGAACGGATGCTCTGCAGCCCCACAGTGCAGCTATGGGAGAGATGAAGGATACATTCCCCAAGCCTTCTCATCTTTGGCCAGAGCCCCAGGCCTGGGTCAACTTTTGTTGTTGTTGTTTTGGTTTTTTTTTTTTTTTTTGTGGTACTGGGGCTTAAACTTAGGACCTACACCTTGAGCCACTCCACCAACCCATTTTTGTGATGGGGTTTTTCGAGATGGGGTCTCACAAACTATTTGTCCCAGCTGACTTTGAACCACAAACCTCCTGATCTCTGCCTCCCGAGTAGCTAGGATTACAGGTGTGAGCCACCGGTGCCCAATCTTTCATATACATTAAGATGACAATTTCATGAACACACAGTTTCGAGCTGTCCATCTTTGCTCACCGCACTCTCAGAGCATGGTTAGTGCTCAGATCATTGTTGAATGATGTGTATATGTACTAGAAAATCAGAGTTGCCGTAAAACCTGGGGTGGCTACAGTTAGCTACTCCTCGCAGCTAGCTTGGCAGACAGACCAGAGTCCCACCTCCCAAACTGGCCTCCTGTCCTTTGCCAGGGTATTACCTGTGGACATATTTCTTCTCCAGGTGGATGTTCTTGTAGCTGGTGTCCCCCTCAGGGTCCTGACCTGGATTCAGGCTGGGTCCCAGCATGGCCTCAGCCTTTTTTCGCAGAAAGTTGAGCAGGTCGCCATAGCAGCAGTACTCAGTGATGATCAGGACAGGGCCTAGAGCAGCAGACTGGTGTGAGGAGGAGTGGGCCCCTGGCCCCGCTTCCTGTGTGAACTACAGCACGGGGCTAGGGACAATGAGGCCCTGGCCTGAGACCCAACACACCCGAGTTCTAATCCTGGCTCTGTGAGTAGGTTTCTCGGTGCCTCAGTAACTCCATCTCTCTAAAGTGGACAAACTTCGAAAAACACTTTAGCCCAAGAATTCTTTTTTCAAAGAGATTGATGGCAGTTCAGTGGGAAGCTGCTAAAGTGAGGAAAAAGGAAATAGCTAAGGTTTCTGAGGTATCTCAGTGACCCCTGGGGTGAGTGTCCAGCATCTTTGGGTAGGGGCATAGCTCCAGACCCACAGAATCAAGACCCCTGGAAGCAGAGCCCAGGACTCTGCACGTTTATCTCCTTGCCCCAGAGCACATGCACCAAGGCATGGCTTAGCACCCCTTAGGGCTGCAGTGCGCATAAGCAACTCCTGCCAAGCCTGGGAGTCTTACCTAGGAATGCCAGAGATGCTGAGGATCTACTGGCACTTGCAGCAGGTGAAGAGAGGAAGATGGAGCAAGGTGCCCTGGGGTCCTCAAAGGCCCCCAAATGATGGACCCCCATCCCGCCAAGAACCTCACCTCCGTGAGTGCAGGCTCCCAGAAGGTTGACTATGTTCTCGTGCTGGCCCAGGTGACTCATGATCTTCAGTTCTGACATAAGGGCCTCCTTCTCATCAGAGTGAGCCGTGGCTGGGAGATGGGCCACAGGTCAGAGAAAGCAGGGATCCCCAAAGACCCGGAGGGATCAGAGGGATCACAGTCCAAAGTAGGGAGAAGGAGAAATGTAGGCACAGAGGGAGGGACAGAGGAAGATGAGGGATACTCTTGCTACTGAGCTGGTATTGGGAGGCAGGGAGTCAAACTGTGACCAGGTCATGGCCCTAGGTAACCTCTGTGTACCCCAGCCTCTTCAGGGCTCAGGCAGAAACCTCTCCCTACCCAGAGGTTGTCAGAGGTCTCCTTAGAACCAGGAATCACAAGGAACCTGGTGCTCACATGAAAAGCCAAAACTTGACCCCTAATCCTGAGCTCTGTCCCCAGGTTCCAATAGGCTGAAAATGTGGGTGATGTTTCTTGCAACAACAGGGCTGGCCCATTCCCAACATACACCACTCCCCAGCCCTCCCCCGGCTCTCCAGTCCTTCCCCCACTTACACTTCAGCATCTTCACAGCCACCTTCAGGACAGTGTCTTCCTTCCCCAGACCAAAGGCTGTGGCCTCTACCACCTTCCCAAAGGCACCAGCTCCCAGGGTCTTCCCTGTCACACATAAAGCAGGCCCTTTAGGTCCCAGGATAGCAGGGGTCCTCTCTCTTGGGAGAGGCTCCTTGCAGCCCCCAGTGGCCCCACCATGGAGTGCTGGAGAATTGAGACCCCATCTCACCAAACTGCAGGTTGTTGCGTGGGAACTCCCACTTCTCGTTGTAGGGCAGCTGGGTGGGATCGATAAAGGTATAGTTGTTGCCCTCATAACTCTCGATGATTTTCCAGCGCACCTGGTACTTGGGCTTCTGCAGAAGAAGGGAGGAGGTATAGGGCAGCTGCTCTGATAGGCAGATGTTGGGTCTTACCTCGAGAGCAGAGGGTGTGACAGTCCTGAAGCTCTCAGCAGAAGACAGAGTGAGGCCCAGTAAGTGCTGAAGGGGTCATGGCATCGCATGGACATGGCACAGAGAGCTAGTCCCTGCTCAATTCTGCTTTACTATGTGATCGTCCCTTGGACAAGATAACCTCTGAGGGTCTTGATATCTCTAATAAGTTGGTAATTCCCAGGCCAGGAGGGAGGGTAGAACTTGAGATCAATGCATTCATCTACCCATCTGCCCATTCTTTCATCCAAACAGTTTTTGGTTTTATTTTTTTATTTTATTGGTGCTGGGGCATGAACGTAGGGCCCCATCTATGCTAAGCACATGCTCTACCACCAAGCTATACCCCCAGTCCTGTTTGATTTTGAGTTGTGTTGTGGTAAAACATATATAATATAAAATTTACCATCTCAACCATTCTCAAGTGTGCATTTCAGTAGTATTAAGTGCATTCACATTGCTATGCAAGCACTTTCCAGAACTCTTCTCCTCTTGCAAAACTGAAGCTCTATGCTCATTGAAGAAAACTTCCATTCCTCCCTCCTGCCAGCGACTAACTGCCATGATTCTGCTTTCTTTTCTATGAATTTTACCGTTCCGGGTGCTGCACCCAAGTCGTACCATATTTGTCTTCTGTGCCTGGCTTATTTCTCTTAGCCTAGTGTCCTCAAGTTCATCCATGTTGTAGCATGGGTTGAAATTCCCTTCCTTTTTAAGACTGAGTATCAACAGTCTTACTTAAATAGTTCACTGACCATATATTCGTGGCGGGTACTGTGGATTCAGCACTGAACAACACAAACTCTCCGCCCCATGAAGTTTGCATTCGAGTGGCTAAGGGAGGCATTTAACTCAAATATCTAGGCAGGAAATTTTTAAATTCTGTCATGAAGATAATGAAGTAGGGTAGGTGACAGATAGAGAGTGATGTAAGATGAGTGAGGTAAGCCACTGTAAAGCTAGCCATAAGAGTTTTCCGGGCACAGCGAACACAAATGCTGCAGCATTGTGGGAAAGTCTTGGCCGATTTAAGAGACAGGTAGCAGGTATGGCTTAGGAGAAGTGAGAAGGAGGTGGCAGAGGCAGGAGGTGGTGAGGGTCCACCAGGCATTGGCTCCCTGCTAACTTCAGGGAGAAGCCCTGAGGATCTGTTCAGGGTGAGGAGCTATCTGATTTGATGTCGCTGAGACGGATGAAGAGGACTATGTACCATGTGCTGTAGGCAGTGGGCTTCTGGCAGGCTTCATTTCCTCCTCAGGCTTTCGATGTTGCTTCACCCACCCAGCTGGCAGAGCTGGGATGTGGGGCCTGGGCAGGAGGACCAGCTGCCTCTCCCTTTCCTGCCCTGGGAGCAGCTGCAAGGGGGTGTCATGCCAAGGGCTGTCTATGAGAAGTGCTGAGGGAAGACCAAGTTTGGAGGAAAGTGGAAGCTGGCCTAGGGTAGTGGAGGACACTGAGGCCTTGGGTCAGCAAACCAACCCTCCATGCCATCAGGCCTTGGGGACAGGGACCAACTGGGCTGTGCTAAGCAGCTGGGGTCCTTTCTTGAGCATCCCAGTTGGGAGAGCTAAATGGTGGCTTCCTCCTTGGGGAGATGGGTGGCCTATGGCTGCAAATCTTGCCAGGTTAAGAGAAAGAAACTTCCTGTAAGTAATTTGGGAGAGAAGACTGGAGTTAGACATCAGGAACTTCCAGGCTCTGATTCGGAAGGAGGGTTTGAAAAAGGACATAGGGAGGAACTCCCTGAGTCTCCAAGGATGCAAGTTCTTGTGTGGGTGCCTTCCTAACCCAAAAGCCAGACAGAAGTGGAGAAGAGATTCTCTGATCTCTTCTGGCACTTCTATCTCCAGGAACCCCTGTAGCCAAGGCTGTTTTTTTCCTCACCACTTCTGCTTCCTCTGTCTCTTCTGCAGCTGGTCTGAGTCAGCCCCTCCTGCCTCCAATGAGCAGGAGCCATATTGGAAGTGATAGTAGGGAGGAGGTGGAGAAAGAGGGGTGTGGCTGGATTCTCATGTCGCTGAATCCTGACTCCAGTGCCGATGCTCTCCCACCTGCCTCACAGTCCCCACCATTCTCCCTACTGAGTGCAAACACCTCCCAGGGCCCCATGCTATCCCTGGGCTGGGTTCCCTCATGGCTCTGAGGCTTCTGCCCAAGGGGATGCCTCTCTGTAGGTGCTCCATTGGTGAAAGAAGAGAGGCCAGAGTGTCTGCCTCAACCAGATCTTCTAATACCAGGAATGCTGATTGCCAATAGTGGTGCTCACTGAGCACATCCTGTGAGCCATGTCCTCAACAGACACTCGCTGTGCATCTTCTCATCTTCTCACCTATTGCTCACACAAGGCCTAAACCCTATGCCCACCCCAGACCTACAGGAATCAAAGTGGGCATGGAAGCACCAAAGTCCTGGCTATACTCCAGCTGGTTCCGTGGGGTGGGTTTCTGCCTCAGGAAGGTGAAGACCTGAGCAATTGCCTTGGAAGCTCTGGGCATCCACCTGCCTTCATAGCTCAGTCCTGGTCAGAATCTCAGTCTCTCCAGGACAGCAGCCTCTCTCTGCAGTTCCTCTTCCAAGGCCATCCCTCCCTCACTGTGACCCCCTCCCTGCAGCCTGCTGACTCCTGCCCTTTTCTCTTCCCTTGTGGCCCCCTTGTGGTCTCTCTGAAGAAGGCGATGACTCAGCCCTGAGGCAGAAACAACACTTCCAAAGATGCCACTCCTCACCCAGGCCTAGGCAGTGGGGACAGACAGGGCCAAGTCCCTGTGAAGGGGACTAGCAGGACTCCTGGCAGGCCCTGAGGCAAGAGAACAACTGACTTGAATCTCTTGAGTATTTCACACAGGGTCAGCCAAGCCCGGGGAGAGCTGAAGGATATGCATGGACACTGGGGAGAAGGCCACAGGTCTTCTCCTGGCTTTGGGTGGGATCAGGGCCCAGTTGAATTTCCTAGATAGGAAATAAGGAGGTGGAGAGAGCTCAGGTGTCCCTAGACCACAGCCAAGGGAGACTGGTCAGTCCATGCAGAAAAGACTGCAGGGTCCTGGACTCCACATTGGAATCTCTGCAGGGCTCTCCAGGCTGAGGAGGCAGCTACTGTGGGGCACCGGGAGACAGTTTTTACTTCTGTATAAAGTAGAACTTTGCTCAGAGAAGGAACGAGGGACCACAGGGGTGAGTAAGTCTCATCTCTGGAGGTGGCGAGTAACACAGAAACTACTTTGGGTGTGCAGTCAAGGAGATGCCCAGCCTTAGGACCCCTCCCATCCCAACATGCATGAGCTAATTTGGGTCCCCGGCCAACTTCCTCCTGTGCCCAGGGAGTGAGCCCTCACTACTGAGCATGTCTGTACACCTGGCGCCTACCACGTCCTCCACATGTGGTAGGTCAGGGAAGCTTTGCACCAGCCTGCCGTGATTAACTCCCATTTACAAATGGAGAAACAGGCTTAGAGTCACCAACTTTCCCATGCTCTCCTAGGTAGAGACGGGCGGAACCTGGATCTGTCCAAATCCGGGCTCAGATCATCAACTACTTGGCTCTTAAAGCAGACCACAGAGAGGATCTCAGTGTAAAAGGACAGGCATTAAAGGTCACCTGTTGCCATCATACAGCAACTTGGAAACAGACCAAAGAGGACAGTGAGGCAGCCAAGGTCACCTGGCCAGACAGTGTCAGAGCTCGTTCTATACCCCTAAAGTGTTGACCTAGGACCCACTTTCTTGGGGCTATAGTCAGAGCCACCTTCTCATGTTAGCTGCTGTCAGGAGCACAGACAGCCTGGCCTCCTGATTCCCCCACATCCACCCATCCTGCTCCTCAGGTCCTCTTGTCGCAAGACCCCCAAGGCAGGGATGTCCAGGAAAAAGCAGAAAAGGGGATCAATCCCATTTACAGCCCTGGACCTGCAGGATGGGGTCCAACCCTGCAGGTGCCTAGCCCTAATCTCTCTCTTGTCTTCTGGAGCTCACCTGGGCCTTCCTCTCACCTGGCCCTTTGCCTACCCAGCCCTCTCCCCCAGAGTATTCCTGTGCCTGCCTCCCATGCTGCATTCCTCACTCTTCTGGGCCTGTCCTGCCAAGGCCAGACTACCTTCTCCAACAGTGTCCTTCCCCTGGTGAAGAAGAGCCCTCAGCCTACCCTTCTCGGCTTTGGCTCACAATGGTCCTTATCTTTTGTATGAGGAGGTGGCTAGTCTAGGTAGTAGAGGCTGTGGGCTTTGGTGTGGAGCATCTGTTACCAACCACATTTGCCCTGTGGGCAAATTCTTCAGCCTCCATTAGGACTCTAGCTCAGTAATGAGCTGACTGCTATACACCCTGCTTCCAAACTTGGAGTTAGTCTCCTCAGGGTTAAAAACCAGATTCTGCTATTGACAAGGACAATTGGCTCAACCTATCAGAGCCTCAGATTCCAGCTCTGTAAAATGGGGTTGATGATACCCTCCACACATGATGCTTGCTGAGGGCAGTCAATGAGATGATGTGCTACGCACACTCCATAAAAATGCTCCTAACATCGCTCCCTTATCTAGCAGCCAGATGGGTGATACACTCAATGTGCAGTGGGCAAAACATGGCATCCTTCATTACTACTAATAACTGAACATCGAGAAGGAGGAGGAGGGTGATCCCAGGCCCTCTTCCACTAGTCCACATGCTATCTGAGAGTGAGATTCAGGTGCAGCGCAGGGCTGCTGTCTCCGTGTTCTCATGCTTTACTGCATGCTTGGAAGCTCCGGGTGGGACAGGGTTCCATTCTTTAGTTCATAGCACATTTTACTCTGAAAGGTGCACCCTCACTTTCACAGCCACCTGATCAGTGACATCTCTTGCCCTGGGCAGCAAAGCCTACCATGGCAGAATGTCAGAGGCCACCCAGCACCTAAGTTGTGAAAGAGCTGCTAGTTACATGGCTGACTGACAGAATGAGTGAGGGAGTGGAGGCTGAAGGGTGAATCTGTGCAGCCCAGAGGTGTCCACATCTGCCTGGCTCAGGGCCTGGCTGTCAGGGTCTTCCACCCTGGCTTACCTGCTTGTACTTGTACAAGAGCAACAGCAGTAGCAGCAGCAGCAAGGCCATCATGGACAGGCAGGCGACCACCACAGGTGTGAAGACAGACTCATCCAGGGGCTGTATGACAGGTTCTGAAGGGGTGGAGCAGAGGAGTGAGTATGTAGAGGGACTCTGAGCCCCCTCCGCCCACTCAGACCAAGCCAGCGAGCTGTCTGGGACACAGTAGGTGTTCTACAAAGACTTGTGTGAATGAGGCACCCCCCCTCCTTTGTGAAAAGTCCCCCTGCACCATGGAAGGAGGCAGGAAGGAGAGGCTCTCGGCTCTCATGCCCACCCCAAACCCCATCCAGAATTCCAGCCTCCTGATGCAGGGAGACACTGCTGGGTCATATGGTCCTAGCTCTGCCAGTCAAGAAACCCCTCAGCAGTAGCCTGGCCTCGTGTCCTGCCACTGCGTGTATCACACCCCTAGTGACAGGATCACTACCTCCACCTCTGGCAGCTCAGGCTTTCTAGAGGTTACACTGAGATTCACCTCCCCAGCCTTTCCCTGCAGTGTCCTTGCCCTTGTGAGGGTCTCAGAGCCAGGTTACAGGCCCTGGTCTCCTCTTCCCTGGATCTATAGCCCTAGTTCTCCTGATATGTTTTTGTTTGTTTTTGATGGCACTGGAGTTTGAACACAGGGCCTCAAGCTTGCTAGGCAGGCTCTCTTACCACGTGAGTCACTCCACCAGCTCTTTTTTGTGATGGGTTTTTTGAGATAGGGTCTCCTGAACTATTTGCCCGGGGCTGGTTTGAAACTGAGATCCTTCTGATCTCTGCCCCCTGAGTAGCTGGAATTACAGGAGTCAGCCATTGGCACCAGGCTCTTGATATGTTTTGAAGGACATAATTCCATCCTCTTGCTGGACCAGGAGGTCTGAGGTTGACTCTCACCTCTGTCACTTAGTAGATGGTGACACCGAACCCATGACTTCCTTCTGAGTCTCAGCTTTATCTTCCCCCAAATGGGAAGGAAAATAGAACTGAGTTCTTCAGGGTGTGAGAGTTAATTGATATAAGGCCTGCAAAGAGTGCAACATAATGCCCAGCACAGTGCAAGTGTTCAGCACAATGTTGGTTTAGTACCTAAAATACACAGGGACCAGCAGTGAGACAATATCACAGTCAGCAAGGTGCAATGAGCCTGGTGGCAGTTGCTCCAAGACCAGAAGCTGGGTTACTTATATAAGTGACATGATATCTGAGCCAGGAAGGGGCCAGCAGTTCCCCCTGTTTCCGCTGAGTCCAGAGAACCTCCTCAGAGTCTGGCACACAGTGGGTGCTGAAAGTGGATTTAAGGGCCTGATGGTGCTGTGGCCTCTAAGAAGCAGAGACAAAGCCTTCACGCAGCTTCATGCAAAGCAGAGAAAGGCAACCTGCGAGGTTGCACAGGACTGGACATCAGCCCTGGGAAGCCCCTTGTAGTGTCCTTGAGTGGACAGGATGGTGTCTCAGGGCTGGGGGCGGGGGGTTGAAGAGAAATGGAAAAGACTGTCTGGTAGTCCTGGGCTTGGGATGAACTGTGTTTCTTGCTCATTGCCTGCTGCCCTCACCAGACTCTAACATTTGTGGGGCCACTGGTCCCCTGGACTGTAAGTGTCCAGCACACCATGCGTATGCCAAGTACCTATTGTGAAAAAATAAGTGAGTTCAAGATCAGGGGCAGGAGCAGAGGGACCAAGTTACGGGCCTGCTTGCTCCAAGCTGTTCTCTGGACCTCATTCAGGTTTCTTCCTGCCTTTTCCTCCTTGGCTTCAGTCTCACAGGGCTCCATACTCCCCCATGTCAGTGCCCCAGGGTCACCATTGGTCAGAAGAGCCTGGGGTTGACCTAGAGAGCTGGCATCTGCTCCAAACAGGAGCTCTGGCCTTGGCTCCATGAAGGGTAGGTCTCTGGTACAACACCTCCCTTCCCATTGTGACCAGGAGGAAGGGAGACTCACCTCTAGAGGGCATCCTGAAGGGCTGGGAGCTGTTCCCGACGCTGTTGCGGGCTCTGCATTCATAGGTCATGTTGTGCTTGAAGGTTCCAATGGCCAGCTGGCTCTGTACAATCACTCTGTGGAAGGGCTCCTGGCTCAGCACCTCGGGGTGTGAGTCCTCCCAAACCTGCAGCACCTGGGCTTCATCACATCTGGGAGGAACAGGAAGTGGCTCAGGTGGCAAGGTCCCCTGCACTGGCTGCCCCTGCAAGCCCTTCCACCCAGGTGAGGAAGTTAAGCAGAATCTGTTTACCTATCAGTGTGGCCCCTGCACTGCAGCCACGTCACATTGGGCTGGGGGTACCCGGAGACTTCACAGAGCAGTATGTTAGAGTCATTAATGTGCATCCATTTGACGCTGACCTCTGGAGGGTCTGAGGAGGAAAGGAGAGGCAGATCAGCCCTAGAGGCCAGGGCCTCTTCTCCCGATCACCTTGCACTGAGCCTGCTCTCCCAGGCCACCCCAACCCTTGGGCAGCCCTGAGGTGGTGGTAGGGGGAACCTATGCCCGGGCCCCAGCCTGTCACTCACATAGTAGGGTGAGCTCGAAGGTCAGAGTGCTCCAGCCTCCCACATTCCGAGCAAGGAAGGAGTAGCGACCAGCCTCAGAGGGCTTCAGGCGGATCAAGGAGAGGATGGAGGTGTACCTGCAGGAGAGAGCAGAGGATACCTGCCTGAGCTCCAGGCTGCATGGCTGTGTGTGGGGCAGTGGGCCTCAGATAACACCCATAAACGGGTTGTTTTCCTTCAGTAAATTGTCCAGGGCAGAGGCCTCCACTCAGCCAGGTACTCAGGAGGGGGCCACTGAGTCAAGGGAACCACCTACCCTATTTTCTTCACTGGTCTTCTCATCTGGAAGGCTATTTTTTTGGTTCTTTGAGACAGCATCTTGCTATGTATCCAAGGCTGGCCTCAAACTTGTGATCCTCCCACCCTAGCCTCCAGAGTGCTGGGATTACAGGCCTGTACTGTCACACCAGGCTTAAGTCCCCTGCTTTTAACATGGTCACTGAACTAAGCTTTTACAAGCACAGTGATCCCTCCTGAAAATCCCTCAAGTATCAGCTCTGCCAAAAGGGACTGTGGGAGGGACAAGAGGCAGGATGTAGAGCCTTAGTTCTGGGCTGTGTTGCCATAGAGCCCATGTGTGGGACAGATCATGCCCTGGTGCCACTATTTCCTGACTGTCCTAAGACAGATACTTAACTCTATGATTCTCTGCTTCTTTTGCTGTGAGGTGATACTAATGATTATTAATTCACTGACGAGGTCTGAGGATGAAAGGGATATGACTCTAGAGTCCTTGACACAGAAGCTGACTCACTGTACTTACTCAGTTTAATGGAACCCTTTACTCAGGAAAAGTCCTGGAAGCAAATGCTAATGAATAAAATCATCTTTGAGCAGGGCACCAGTGGCTCACACCTGTAATCCTAGCTACATGAGAGGCTGAAATAGGGAGGATCATGGTTCAAAGCCAGCTTCAGCCCCCATCTCAACCAACAGCTGGGCATAATGGCACATGCCTGTCATCCCAGCTACTTCAGGAAGTATAAATGGGAGGATCACTGTCCAAACCTGCCTGGGCAAAAAGCAAGACCCTATCTCAAAAATAACCAGAGCAAAGAATGCTGGAAGCGTGGTGGCTCAAGTGGTAGAGTGCCTGCCTGGCAAATGTGAAGCCCTGAGTTCAAATCCCAGTGCCACAAAAAAAAAAAAGTCATCTTTGATGACCTAGACAGATTCTAGGTAATGTTTGTTCTATTCTTTTGTTATCTCTATTTTTATAATTTTTCCACAATGACTACATTGCTTAGGTAATAAATATACTAAAAAGTTAAATGAGGACTGGAAGCATGGCTTAAGTGCTTGTGCAGCAAGTGCAAAGCTCTGAGTTCAAACCCCAATGCCAACAAAACAAAACTAATTAAATGACAGAAAAGTATTAGTTCTTGCTTGGAAAACGCAGCCACTACTAGACTCCATGGGATTCAAAAGCCAGTCTTGGGCTGGGGCTGGGGCTTAGTGGTAGAGTGCTTGCTTAGCATGCTTGAGGTCCTGGGTCAGGGCCCCCACCTCCAGCACTACTGGGAAAAAACCCACAAAAACAGCACTCTCATTCTATCAAACTTTGCATATAGAATCCTCAATGCATGTCAATTCTTCCTCCTCCTCCTCCTCCTCTTCCTTCCTTCTCCTTCTCTTCTTAACACGGAGCGCCATGAACCTTGTTGCCACCTTGGGCAGGAGCCATGCAACGTCTATATCATTCCAGTCATGCCACCAAAGTGAGCACAGCAATTCTTCAGACAACTATCATCTACCCTTTTAACTGAAAAGAACTTAACTCTTTTTTGGATGACTCAAACACCATCATGAACACGCCCATCACATGAGCAAAAATTCACTGGATATTCAGCACCCAAGCATGTCTGCCCTGAGTCAAATGGCCCCAGAGCACTGTGTCTTGTGGTTCCTTGCCACAATGTCTCTGTGACTTATGGACCCCTGAAACCTATCCATGGACCAGCACCCTCCCAGGAGTTGACAGACTCTAGTCCAGAACTTCTGCTTTAAGCAGGGGGATGAATGATAGAAATCCAGGACAAGAAAGGACCAGAGGCGGACATGGCAGAGGAGAAGAGTAAAAGGAGGGCAAATGGTAGGCACTCCTTAGGGTGCTGTCAGACGAAAATCCGACAGAGTAGAAATCACTTAGGAACCATAAGTTGGGGAGCTGCCAGAATAACTTAGTAATGGTGCTTTTCAGTGAAATGCATAGAAGAGCTGTTTCATAAAGGTTGGAAGATGTCTCATGGAGAACCTTGATGACATAGTTTTGCTAGCGCCTGCCTTGCAGGAATTAGAACGAATGCTCAGAGACCAATCCTTTCCATCTGGATATTCCGCGAAAATAGCTATGTATTAGACTTTGAGACATTTCACCCTGGAAAAACAGTGCCTGGAGGTCGGCTCAAGAAGTATACTCTGCTGCTTGTGTTGTTCATAGTCAGATAAGTTCCTGTCTCGGATGAAGAGTTGACAGAGACACTATGGGACTTGGGCTACAATTGAGATTCTAGGCTGTGCAGTGAGTCTGCTCTGAGTCGAGGTATGAAGATTGCAAAGCGTGAGTGTTATATTCTTCGTCGATCATACATCATTCAGCTTGACGCCCTGATGTAGCTTGGCCCGCTTCATCCTGTGGATAATATGCATACAGCATCATCAGCTGTCCCGAGGTGCGAGCTAACCTAGCCTCTTCAATCACTTGGTGATCGAGTCCAATCACGTGGCCGTGAACACCTTATAGTGTGAAAACACTGTGAAGGTATCTTCTCTTCCTCTCTAGATATTACTGAGCGAGGAAGAGCCTATCTATTCGCACTTCCGTTAATTGTAACTGTGAACTTCAACCAGCTTGTTTGCAGAACTCAGAGTCAGAGTCAAAGAGGAGAAGAATATCATATTCCAATAAGATCCGAAGAGAGAGTGAGAGAATTTGTTAGTAAAAACACAGTGGGTCTGTGTTTATAGAGCTAACAGACTGATGATCAGAAAGATGTGGACTGATGATATGGACAAAGTAGCGAGGACTGTGCTAAAGAACAGCCCTGGGCCTAGTGGTGCAGATATGAAGTAGGGGGCATCAGTGGCGAAGATTCACCCACGAGCGTGGCCTTGTGGGAGCAAGCATAAGTATCCGTGATGATTGATTATTCCTGCTGAACGAAGTGTCGAGATACCCCATCTATCTGCGTGATGATCTGGTGGTAGATGCTGTGGTCGGCACATTCGTTTCCCCTCCTTGCGCAGTGTTAGCGGCGGTTAGATGCTCTGGATCCTGCTCGGGTGATTAATCGCATCCGGAGTAGGTGTGGTTATCCTTTCTGTAATTTTTGGGGAAAAATTTCGTGGGTGTGGATTGTTTCGGTATCATTTTGGAATGATAAGGAGGATTTGTCGATAGAACAAGGAAGAGTGGAGAAGTCCTGAGGAACCGAATGTAGAGAATCTCCAGCCTACAAGAAAGTGTACCTAGGAGGAATGGCTCCATAAGTGTGAATGTGCGCTTTCATCACTAGAGAGGATAGTGGAGTAGACAAAGAATTATCAGATTGTGAACAAATTCTAAACACAGAGCGATAAAGCAATGGATGTTTGGGTTTCCTGGATGTGGGACAAAGAAGAACAGGTTTACACGAGGCACAACTTCGCTGTAGCACAATTCTGAAGAAATAGAATCCAGGAGAGCTAAAGACGGAGATAAGGACTAGTCCGAAAGGCACCCAACTCATTGGCACCTTTCT